ATGCGCTATATTGTTACCAGTTTTTTTCTCTCTCTTACTGTCTCACACAACAGAGTGGGTTGATTTTACTTACATCCAATCTGCACTGATTCTGTAGTGAATTAATTGCAATAACGCAAACTATGAAGCAATTAATACATGATCCCAATTTCCTCCTCCAGAAGTAAAACTCGAGAAGCCAGAGCAGGAGCCCGCCGCCGCCGCCTCGCCTCCTCTCGGCTCCTCCCCAGCCTCCGCCGGGGAGCGCCAGGCCCCTCAAATGACGCTGAAGGAGGCCCCGAACTCATGTCCCGCAAACGGCGCGAGTGCGGCGGAGATTCGGCGCTACAGGACAGCCTTCACGCGGGAGCAGATCGGTCGGCTGGAGAAGGAGTTCCTTCGGGAGAACTACGTGAGCCGGCCGCGGCGCTGTGAGCTGGCGCAGGAGCTGGGGCTGCCCGAGGCCACGATTAAGGTGAGGATGGAGAGTTATGATTTTTAAAACTTGTCCTATTATTTTGTGTCAATCTACACATGACAAACATTTATCATGCATTTTGTTTAAACAGAAATATTAATGCTATTTTCGTGGTGTCTTCCAGGTGTGGTTCCAGAACCGTCGCATGAAGGACAAGCGGCAGCGCCTCGCCTTGGCCTGGCCTTACGCGGACCCCGCCCTGACGGCCTACCTCCTGCACGCGGCCGCCGCCACGGGCGCCTACCCGCCCTACCTGCCGCCTTCGCTTCCGCCGGGATCGCCATGGGCGGCCGCCGCAGCTGCAGCTGCTGCCGCCGGCGTGGCAGGCACTCCGTCCTACTCCTCGCCGACGCATGCCACTCCGCTCTCGAGGTTCGCCCCCTACCCCCGCCCACACCCGCCCGTCCTCTCGCCGCCCTACTCCCGGCCTTCCGAGGTGCACATGCCGCCCTCCGCCTCCGTCCTCACGCCCACACCGGTGGTCCCACGACCCATTGTTGGCGGCCACCTGCCCTCCTGCCCAGTGCGCGACTCCCCCTCAAAGATGGGCGTCGAGGGCTGTCTCTGCGGGCTGCTTGCGTACCCTGGTCTGGCAAGTCACACCCTCGCACAGGAATCCGCCCTTCCCTTCCCGCCCACGCTTCTGGCCTCCACCACAGCCACTTCCGGGAGCCCAACCTTGGCCGCCCACACCCCCGCCTCGAGCAGCACCTCCTCCTCTACCTCCTCCTCCTCGTCCTCCAGTGACAAGGTCGACGTCGACGTTTCCTCCTCCGGCCGCACCAGCCCGCCTCTGCCGCGCGCCCCCAAGGCCCTGTTCCAGCCGTACCGCGACGACCTCGTCTCATGAACACTCTGACGAGTCCTTTCCCTTCTGTAGCTCCTTTCCCTTCTTTCTCTGGGGCTCCTCTCACTTCCCTTTCTGTGGATCCTTTCTTTTCCCTTCTGTGGTTCCTCGCTTTCCTTCTCTGTGGCTCCTCTTGTTTTCCCTTTGTGGTTCTTCTCTTTCTCTCTCTGTGGCTCCTCGCTTTCCTTCTCTGTGGCTCCTCTTGTTTTTGTGGTTCTCTTTCCCTCTATCTTTCCTCTTCCTCTTCTTTTTCTTCTTTGGCTTCTAGTCACTTTGGCCAATGTATTGTGCTGATGAAGCAATTGTAAATATTATATGATATATGGATACCCTTTTAATTATTTCAATAAAATATTTGTAATGATGTAAATATGTTGTGTTGCCTTTTCCTTCTTTAAAAATAGAAATGCGGAAATAACAAAAAAAAAAGAAAACACCAGGATATATTTGTACACATATTCAGATACAGATACTTGTACGTGTGCGTGTGTGTGTGTGAGAAAGAGAGAGTGTGTGTGTGTGTGTACTTATATATGAAAAGAAAGAAAGAAAAAGAAATATAGATTGATAATGAAATATTTTTGTGATTGTATTTTAGAAACTACATTTTAAGATATTATCAAGTATTTAGATAATTATAGAATCAAACAACGAATTCATTAAAATATAAACCGGTACAGAAACTCTGAAAAATGTCTATACACATGATTATATCAAAAAAGAAAAATATATAAGATAGAAATAATTAAAAGAAACGGAGAGAACAAGATATCATCTTTAAAATTATTTAACTCCATTCATTTATGTAATTATGCTTTTACAATCTCTGATAACTACTAAAGCTATAGATGATTAATTTATACATTGTTTTATGAATCTACATGAAAGAAAAAATTACTATTGGTATAGAGACAGTATATAACCCCCCTCTCTCTCGCTTGATCGCTCTTTATCTCTCTCTCTCTCTCTCTCTCTCTCTCTCTCTCTCTCTCTCTCTCTCTCTCTCTCTCTCCTCTCTCTCTCTCTCTCTCTCTCTCTCTCTCTCTCTCTCTCTCTCTCTCTCATGCTTGTCACTTGCAACAAGTTAAATGAATTTCCTGACCAAAAAGGAGACACGTGATAAACAAGTATTTTTTCCTGAGGCTCTGCTAAAGTGTTTGCTCTTTATCTGTCACCCACACAAGCTTCTCAAAGCA